GAGAGTAGAGAGGTAGAGAGTGAAGGCGAGGTAGAGAGAGAGAGAGATGGGGAGAGGGAGAAAGAGAGCAGCACAAGAGAGAGCTTAAGAGAGAGAGAGAGATGGTACTTGGTTGAGAGGCGAAGAAAAACAAGGGACGTGTCTCTTGGTTGAGAATGGTGGATGGGGTAGAGGAAAAAAGAGAGAGAGATGAGGGAAACGGGGTTATGGTAGATTAGAGGACAGAGGTAGAGAGAGGGGGGAAAGCAAGAAGATAATGGGTGTCAATCCCGGTATTGTCAGTCTGTCAACAGTATGAGAACTGGGCTGTCATTTATGAACCACAATTTGAATGGGGCTAAATCTAAGCCGTTCATTGAGTGCCAAAGTATCTTGGCCGTTGGGCGCACCCCAAAGTTATAGTGAGCAGGTATTCTCTATCATACTAAATTGACACGGAAGCGACACAATAATATGAAAGCAACACACGGCAGCACAATAAAAAAATAATGGAAGTAAAAAACACTCTTATATAATAAAAATAGAAAACCTACATGGTCCAAGTAAAACAATTGTTGAAGTAGAAAAGGAAGCCGGACACACTAGAGCAGAGCACACCACCAAATCTATAGGACTTGAAAGAACAAGGACAGAAGAGAAGACTTACAGAGAGAACATTACAAACCAGTGGAAGACTCAAGACTCGAAAACTTGAGATGCCTCTCTAAAGACGGGTTGCCTCCTTTTATAAGCCTTCATTGTCAGTGGATTTAAACACGTTTGAAGTCTGCATAGTGTCGGTGGACTTAAACTAGTTTGAAGTCTGCACAGTAGATTGTCGGTGGACTTGATATATGTTGAAGTTTGCACAGTGACTGAATAGTAAAAAGTGCTACAGTGACTGAATAGTAAAAGTGCTACAGTGACAGTTGCTACAATAACTGCTATATTGTTTTTGAAAGACTAGATTCCTTTGTCTTTTTCCCTGTGATTTTTCAAGTACTGTCAGGACACATGTCATGGATTGATTGAATTCGAGTCATCCATTATCTTCAACAGTGTTTTAACTGTGTTGTGATGCGAAGAGCTCAGAGTACTTTGGATCGAAGTCGTCTTCATTCTGGTTTTCGTCATCTGGCTGGGAGGTAAACATTTTGTCTTTTTCTTCTCGTAGGGCCAATAAGAACCTTCCTTTAAGCTCAACTTTAGAGATGTGTTTTGTTTCTACTTGATTTAAGTAGTCAGGTAATTCATTTGTTTCACTTGTAACAGTTAGATTAACTGGGACAACTTTTTTAAGGGTGATTTTATTTGAGACAAGTTGTGTTGTAGTGAAATTATCCCACCATTTGACACAAACACGTCTTTCAAGATTTCAGATATAATCCCACCAATCACTGTCTTCGCTTATAGCAGATTCTGATCTCATAATCCATGGGATTTCATATAAAATCCAAAAATATAAGTCTAGGCCTTTTTTACTAGCATTTTTATTTAACTTAAAAAATTCTTTGTTTCGATTCTTAATCAAGCAGGGAAGAATATCAAGCAGAGATCCTTATGTATAAAACCAGCTTTTAAACCAGTTTCAGATATCTCGTAGGCTTTTTAACCTAAACTGCAAAAACCAACTATGTGAACAGCAGGATTTTGGTATGAAAATATTAAATCTCACGTTTTTATATAGTCATAATAATTAAATGACTTAATAACCATACTTTGCTCTCAAAAAAATTTGGGCATTAATGGATCAAAGCTCCATTATTTATGTAATATAATATCAAGGATTTGAAACTTTGAATAGGCAAAGTGTTGTCCATTATTTTTATAGTTATGAACAACATGAACAGATCATGTTTCTTTTAAAACAGCCTCAAAATATTTTCGTATTTTAAACCCAGCTGAATGATGAATATGATCCTTGAGATAAATGGCTGCAATATCAACCGGATGATTATTTTTGTGCTCACTTTCCAATATCATTAATGGAATTGTCGTTGAGGCTATATATGGTGTTTTTCCATTTTGGGTATTAGGATTGAGTCCTTAAAGGTTTAAGAGATATTTTAATCTCTTTGTTGGGCATTTGCATTAAAGCCTTTAGAGTTTTTGATGGTGTTACCAGATTTTTAGTTGGGCTTGGAAGAATATCCATTGGTTATTTCCCTTTCCTTCAGGCCCTATTAAAATTCTCGAGTCAAGAAGCCAAGCAGATAGTTTCAATTACTATTAATGTGCTCGATTATAAACTCGAATGCTGATATGGCGTAGACCCACTAGCTTACAGCTACATATATACGAGCCCAATACTCTAGGCCAATCTGACAATCAGACCTCATTTCGTATTTTAATTTTAATGTTTTTTCTACAAATCCAAATCACATGAAATTTTAGACATCTATTGTTCTAATGAAAGGGCACCTAATAAATTTATTAAAAAATAATAGAAAAAATATAAATAGACTAAAATACCCCTGAAAAGTTTCAAGGGTATTTTGGACAATTTATTTTGCACAAAATGTTTTTTTATATTTTTATTGGATTCTAATATTTTTCAAGAACACTCGACCAAAATTTAAAGTGATTTGGATTTATAGAAAAAACATTAAATTTCAAATACGAAATGCAATCATAATCATTGGATCAATCCAAATTCAATCTGGGCCATTGGGCTCATATAGGCAAGTGGGCC